CCTCCGTGCATTACCACAGCATCTGGCACTATATCGGACAGGGCTACTATGCTAAATTGCTTTAATGAGTATTTTGTGTCCTGTGGTTCTCTATTTGATTCTGTCACTAACTCTGCTTCTGTGAACACTACAGTATGTGACTCTGAAAAACGTGTGTTGGAAAACCCTTTTAGTTTTACCCCTTTTACTATTGATGTTGTTCGTGAAGCTTTAACCAAGTTAGATCCTAAGAAACCGGCTGGCCCGGACAACGTAGAACCTTTCTTTTTAAAGATAGCTGCAGATTTTATTGCTCCACCTCTCACTACTCTTTTTAACCTCTCCCTCAGCTCAAACACAATTCCAAAATTGTGGAAGTCAGCGTATGTCCTGCCTTTGCTAAAAGGAGGGGAGGCCACCTTATTAAATAACTATAGGCCCATCTCTAAGTTGTCAGTTCTGGCTAAGGTTCTTGAACACTTAGTGAGTGAACAGGTAAAGGTGTTTTTATGTACAAATGACATCCTGTCTAAACATCAGTCAGGCTTCAGAAAGCAACACAGCACCATCACTGCCACAATGAAAGTGGTGAATGATGTGACGAGTATTTTAGATAATAAGCAGAGTTGTGCAGCTCTATTTGTTGACCTTTCAAAAGCGTTTGACACTGTCGATCATCACATTTTGAAGCAGAGGCTGGTCAGTATAGGCATGTCCAGCCATGCAGTAGGGTGGTTTGTGAACTACCTCTCTGAAAGGTCCCAATGTGTTCATTTTGATGGGCTGTCTTCTGAGTGGTTGAACATTGCAAAGGGTGTTCCCCAAGGTTCTGTTTTAGGTCCACTTTTATTCTCCATCTACATCAACAGTTTAGGTGAAAATGTGGATGAAGCTACTTTACATTTTTATGCTGATGATACCGTGATGTACTGTGCAGGTCCCTCCATTAAGGAGGCTGGTGTTAAATTACAGGCTGTTTTTAACATTATTCAGACTCAGCTCTCTGAACTAAAGCTTCTTTTAAATGTTGAGAAAACCAAGGTAATGCTCTTTTCTAAAGCTAAAAAGACACCAGAGCCTGTTTTAGATATTGTAACTACGCAAGGAACAAAACTTGAAGTGGTTACCTGTTACAAATACCTTGGTATCTGGCTTGATGATTGTCTCACTTTTAAACTTCATATCAATAACCTGCTTAAAAAGCTGAGGGTTAGGCTAGGTTTCTTCTACAGGAACAAGTCCTGTTTCTCGCTTGAGGCCAGGAAAAGGCTGGTCACTGTGACCTTTTTACCTGTGCTGGACTATGGTGATTTGATGTATATGAATGCACCTGCCAATTGCCTGGTCAAGTTAGATGCTGCGTATCACAGTGCACTGAGATTTGTGACAAACTGTAAAGCATTAACCCATCACTGTACCCTGTATGCAAGGGCTGGTTTGCTTTCACTAACTGTACGGAGGCTCAGTCACTGGTACATTTTTATATACAAAGCCATGTTGGATAAACTTCCATCCTACATCTGCTCCCTGATCTCACGGAAAATTGTAAGTGGCTACTGCCTGAGATCGAATGCTGTGGTTTTATTAAATGTGCCAACTGCTAGGACTGTCTTAGGGAAGACGGCTTTTAGATGCGCAGCTTCTCTGTCTTGGACTAGTCTGCAAATTAAATGGAAACTGAACAATCTGGTGCCACTAAATGTTTTTAAAGCTCGGTTGGATGCTAGTCAATCGGAAGCTATTGGTACCTGTTTATGTGGATAATTATGTAAATTATGCTGTATGATGTCCTTTTGTTGTTCTATTTATGTTGTTATGTTTCATGTGGAACTACTTGAGCAGGTCTCCCTTGAAAAAGAGATCAATGATCTCAATGGGATTTATCTGTATAAATAAAGGTTTTAAATGAAGTGAGCTGCAGACTTCATCATGCCCACTCATACAGAAATAATGGGGGCAAACAGAGGCCCTCATCTCTCGAGAAAGGACCATCTCCCTGGGAGAAGGAACGGTTTACCCACACAGCAGGAACTCAATGAGAAACACTCTCATGAGGGACAAGCACCCCCTTGTGTTGGACAGTTGTACTACACACACACAAATATGTCTCAACTTTTGCCCAATATAAAAAGAACATTATTTATTATGAATGCATCAGCCAATTAAATACTTTAGGTAACATCTTTGTCATAAAGTAAGTTGAAGATGTGTCCAGTGGAGGAAGAAATGCTAGGATTTTAAGTAAGTAAAATTAGCATTAGTAAATTGTTCAAATACTCCATTACAAATTAGAGTCCTGCATTCAAAATCTTACTGTAATGTGTACATGTATGAGTATTGACATCAAATGTTTACTATTCAGTACTAAAAGGAAAAGTGCTCATTTTGCATTAGGGACAATTTCAGAATAATAATGAAAAACCTATGAATCACCGTATGAGCTAATAATATGAACAAGTAACAAGTAACTAAAGTAGTCAAATAAATATAGATAAGAGTAGAATATTTGCCTCCCTATTGTAGAGGAGTAAAATAATTAAGTGGCATTAAATAAAAAATACTCAGGTAAAGTACCTCAACATTGTGCGTAAATAGAAAAGCCTCAAATGTGATTTGAAAAGACAAGGAAATCGTTTTTCCAGTCAGAGCATATGTTACCACCCATGCTCCAAGTCCACATTCGTATGTCTATTCTAGATTGTGTACTTTTCATTTCATTTTATTTGTTCCGCTCATGGTACGCAAAACCCAATGTACAATAATTGCCAACAAAACATGTCTCTACAAACACACCATTGAGCGAAAAAGGAGCAGGGAGAAGAAATATATGACCTGCCCCTTTCTAAAAAAAAAACTAAATGCATAGAAATAGATGGTCTGCCCTTCATAATAATTATTTTTTTTTTCACAGCCAAACATAACAGTATCTTAGGATACTTGACTCCATGAATTGATGACTGTTAAGGGCGCCACTTTTAGCCTAAATCATGTACCGTTATTTTGTCCAGGTTGAGGCTCGAGGGCATTCTTCATATTACATGTAAAACCTGCTTACCTGTGATTCACTCCCGTAACAGCCTCATTAGTCTGCCCCCTGCCCATACCTGGCCCTCCCTTCACCCTTAGGCACCTGCCGTCTACCACAGGTGGGCATGTAATTGCTCTGTGGCGTGGTCATGTTCTGAGTGGTTAGGAGAGAGCAGCCCCGCTAATGAGGCAACTCACTGCGAGGCTTCTACACTGCTGAGAGAAGTGTAAGTGTGTGTGTGTGTGTGTGTGTGTGTGTGTGTGTGTGTGTGTGTGTGTGTGTGTGTGTGTGTGTGTATGTGTGTGTGTATGTGTGTGTGTCACACATACATCTGGTATACAGTTGTAATACAACACAGCTGTTTGACGCTGTGTCAGAGACAGAAAACGAGTTGAGGAAGAGAGCTAACGTTTTTGTGGGTGTGCTAGTCAAACAGAGAGGTACATGGCACTGTTCGAAGTGATTTTTGTGTTTGTTTGAGCTTGGGGTGTAACTCTTCAAAAAATAAATACACAATAGGTAAGAACAAATAATCATGTGTGCAATCGCTTTAAAATCAATTAAAGCCATAGTTTGAATGCTTACCGCAACCCTTTGATTCATACTCTCACTCTCTACACTATTTAATAAATGGGGAAAATATCTAAAGTGGTTAAAGTGATATTTCACAAGCCAATGGTTTAGATCAGTGGTTCTCAACTGGTGGGTCGCGACCGAAAAGTGGGTCGCGGACCCGTTTCGAGTGAAGATTTTGTGAATTAAAAAAAATTGAAGAAAAAAAGGAATTGGAATTTGTTTGTTTTTTGGGGAGGGAAAGTCAAACTTTTATTTTGAAATCCCGATTTTCTAACGCTGTGCATGCAGTCTGCGTTGGACTGGAAGTACCGTAGACCATAAACGGTTTTGAAAACTTCGGTCACATAGTGATCATCTTCTCAATAAAATATCTTTGCTGATGTTTTTTCGAGTCTTCTGGCCATCAGAATCAGAATCAAGATGGTTGCCGGAAGTCCCCACGGACAATAACTTTGCGGTAGAACTCTTCTTTATACATCCATGGTTACAACTTCAGATAGAAATCAACACATAATGAAATATGACCCCCGGTCTGATGACTGACAGGTCACAGAACAATGGGAGCTATCTACCCTTACCCACAATTTAAAGTAAGTCACACAGACTATCTCCTCTTTGCTCTTCTCGCAGCAAGATGTCAGAACAAAGTGAAAAACAAACAATGGCATAACATATTATTAATATGTCGGGTAGTAATAGATTTATTTATTTTCTTCTCAGAGTGTACCAGAATGCATAGTTTGTTAGTATTTCTAAAAATCTCCTGGGGGAGAATCCCCCCAGACCCCCCTGCTGGGGTTGGGTTTCCAGCATGTGCCTTTTTATATAGTTCAGCTTTGAATCCATCATCTCATTAAACCTTTTTTAAAAGCATACTTTAGTTCTGTGACGGGGTATAAGGGATATATGCACTGTACTTCACTTTTATTAATATTGTATGCTGAAAAGCGTATATATATATATATATTACAGCACGATTTTTTGTTGAATAGATTTGAGTGCTTCAAAATGTTGGGTCGCGATGTATTGACCAAGTAAAAAGTGGGTCCCGAGGCCTGACCAGTTGAGAACCACTGGTTTAGATAATGTCTCTACCAAAACAATATTTTACCAACATGTAGCTCTCTTTTTTTTTTAAAAGTCCTCTGCAGGCATGTTTTAAAGCAAGTAAAATACCCTGCTGAGATTCGTATTTTATTTAACATGGCTTTCCCACCTAAAAAGAGTATTAAGAAGCGCTTTTATCTTTCAGGACAAAAGGCTTAAAGGCAGATCTACTCCACTCCATAATTAAGAAAATTCTGTATCTGGCCATGAGCCACAAACCAGTTATAGCAGTCGTTTCAGAACGGTAAGTGTAGCGGCTTTTAATTGTTTGTGTGGTTTGTGAAGTTTTGGATAAACTTTGAATACTCACTAGTGGTGCACTGTTTATCAGTGGCCTCGCCCTGAGGGCTGCTCCTGGCCTGCTCCTCTGCTCCAGCGTGGTGCCTTCTGGTTGCCACGGCGCCCATCAGCTCCGTCTGCTGAGCTGGCGTCTGGAGGTCTGCGGGGCCCACAGAGGATCAGTTACCGACAACAGACAATACTCTGTGTGTGTGCATTGTGAAATTGCGCACGTGTGTGTATGTAACTGGGAAAACACTTCGGAAATATAGTGCTGGCCAGATAGAGTGCATGTGTGTGGATATGTATGAGTGTATAAACAACAAGAGGCTAGGAAGGTACTCTGACAGACCAATACAAATATGATCCTCCAGACAAATATGACCAAGGGGTTGAGATAGGGTCAGTCAGCAAAACGTTATGATAACGATAACTCCATGTTTGACTGATATCTTTAATCACACGGGAATGAAAAGCAGAGATCGAGACGATGACAATTAGAAACTTCAACCCTCCCTGACATTAAGTGATATTTAAGTTTATCACAGATCCTTTCATCTTCTCACAGGGGAGAAAGTCCCGAGATGCACTGTGGGTTTTGAACCCTGCCGCAAATGTGCATCATAGCGTGTTGGGTTAACTGAGCAAAACCTTGACTGGAAGATGAAATATGTACGCTGCTGTATTCCTCCACTCAGGCAGTTGACTTTTGCTCCTGCAATATTCATTTAGCATCCTGTGCTTTTAGCTGCTAAAAGAGGAAATCAAAAGCAACAGGGTGGCTTCGGAAAATTGCTTCCCCTTTGATAAGTTTCTCGGCCGGGCCTCTGTGGCTTGAGTCAGAAGTCAATGGGCCCTCAGGGGGTAGGGCTGCGCTAATAGATAATGTTTTTAAAAAGGGAAATCACTTCATCTTGTACAGTTCCCTCAATACTTGTGTGAGCTTTCAAGAAATATGTATGTCTCATCTCATTGAAGGGATAATAAAAAAAGATTAGCGGTGTCAATCGATTAGAACATTTGAATGCGTTAATCACGCTAATAGTCTGTGATAAATCTTGATTATTCACAAGTTTAAAATGCTAGTATTAACTTGTAATTTTGGGAGAGTTAAAACAAATATGGGGTTATAATAAAGAAATGCATGATACACAGTTAAGACAAATAAGAAGGTTTTTATTTTTATTCTCACATCTTAGCTTCGTTTTCATGATTTCTGAATGTATTTGTAATTTTATTTTTTATTTGAGGGACATGTCGTAATGGCCAATCAATGAAAGGGTAAAACAAAAACTATTAATCAGTAACATTCTGCAGTCTCAGATAAGGGGGGTGGCAGTAGCTCAGTCTGTAGGGACTTGGGAAGCGAATAGGCACTGCTTTGAGTCTCTGTACAGACCGAACATTAAGTACTATGGACTGATGGATAAAGATATGCCAGTTCACCTCATGGGCTCTATCGCGGGATCCTTGAGCAAGGCCATAGGCCCCCAACTGACTCCTTGCTCTGACAACTCTGCGTTATTGTGTGTGTATGGGTTCCGTTTGCTTTATTTCAACTGTAATTGTATAACGAAAAAGCAGTGAAAACTAAATTATTCTTCTAAGCATTAAACATATACTGTGTGCTGAGTCTTTCCAATGTGCCGGTGCTGTTGTTAATTAGTCAATTCCCACGTGGGCAAGTATAGCTTATACATGTGACCATACGATAAATATGCCTCTATGCTCCATATCTGAAGATAAACATGTGTGTTTCTCCATGCGTAAACCTCATTTAGAGTTACCCTAAATCCACTCAGCAGTGCTCGGGGCTGTTTGGTGTGTGGAGAGACGCAGAGCACCATGCAGACAGCGAGCACAGAAGGTACTGTCTGGAACACTGGAGCCTCGGGCATCACATACTCTACACTGAAAACTGACTGCTCCATCAAGTAATATTATGGTACAAAAAGACGGTCTCCATTCTATGAGATAATGTATCAAAGACTACACAAAAAGAAAGAGCAGGCTGGGGAAACACACATGGACTGGCTAGGGCTCATTATTCAACAGTTATTTATTTAGATAAACAGTTCAGTGCCATTAGTATGCTATATCAGTCTGCTCGGCCACCATCCCTACATAAAGAGGGCAGTGCAAAAAAAGTAATTGCAATTATTAAAGTGTATGATTTTGCAAAGCTGTGACAAGTACTACTTGTTTATTAGAATTAGAGTATTTCATGTATCCTGGGGAAATTGGGTTTCAAGACAGTTACTCCATTTTATAATAAAAAAGAAACAAATTATTAGAAGTTCATTTAAAAATGTGTAAATAAAAAGATCAAATTAAATGAAAATATCTCTATAAACATAAGAACTTAAAGTAAAAATTAAAAACAATAATATGTAAACATTATAATATTTGCATTGGTTTAAAAGTTATTAATGATGAAAAGTAGGTATAATTAGAAAGAGGTGATCATGATAATGGAATTGCTTTTAACCTTCACAACAGTGTACGTATTTAGGTAGTGTGTTGTTAAAATGGCTTAAAGACATGTGTCACATGTTGCCATGTTTCTGCGATTCCTTACCTTTCTTCCAGCGCGCCTCTTTGATTTCTTCGCACATGCGGTCGAACTCAGGGTCCAGCTCGGCAGCAAATATAGCGTGAGCGGTGTCCTTTAAACTGCTTGCTCGGTGCCGGATCACCTTGTCTGAAAAAGGAAGAGACATAACATTAAGGTCACATGACACTGTGGTTTTCTGTGAGTACATGTGTTTTATAACACGGGACATTCAACCAGTAATTCTGACATTTTCATTTGTGCCCATAGTGGTACTATTCTCTGGGCTTGATTAAGCAGAACAATAAGTACATTTTTCTTACTATACGATGTTTAGAGTTTGGGACCAGGGAGGTTGTGTTTTTGGCTTTGTTAGTTTGTCAGCAGAATTACAGAAAAATGACACCCAATTTCCATGAAATGTGGTGAAGGCTGTAGCATGAGGCCAAGAAAGGACCCATTAAATGTTCGGAAAACAGGGAGGGAATACACAAACAACTTTCATTCAAATTGCAAGATGGGGCATTTTGCCTTGGCGGAAGTCTGCGCTCTAGGTCAGCAATTGTAGTCATATTTTAGAAGGAAACAGTTGTCTCATGTTCCCAAAGGTTGCATACAGTTAGAGGCGAATGGCTGTATCTCAGACACTACAAAAGGCACAATCAGGTATCTGGTACCCGCTGTATGAACTCATTGGTTACAAATTGAATATCCAAGATAGGAACATGTATATAGTGTAAAAAAGGAAATCACAATTTATCTCTACCAGAATTCAAGGCTTTAGACAAATCAGAACGAATTGCCCTTTTTCTCTTAGACATACTGAATATAGTCTTTGGGCTAAATTGGGTTAAATGTGAGTTCCTTTTTATGTCACCTTGTAGTTTGCAGTTTGAGGTTGCATGTTCTCCACACCCCGTCATATATGTAAATGGAGGGCTTAGACTTGATAGCAGCGCGCCCCTTTCCCCTGTATCTGTGAGAAAGGGGCTTGTAGCGTTTTCTCACAGGTTGAAAAAAAAAAAAAAAAGGATCGAGTTGGCTTTGGTAAAAAGTGTTCGCGGGCAGAAGTCAGAGATGTATGAGACTCTTGATACCACCACTTCAGCCAGTAAAGACAGAGGTGTGTGCATACACAGACGTGCAAACTGAAATATTTTGTAATGCGTACTCGTTCTTTTCACACTCCTTACACCTTCATAACTCTTATGCCTCTTTTCCCTTAGATGTAGCAAAGCATCATTAAAATCCTCCTTCTTACCCGCTCCTGCATCTATGGAGGGAAAATAGAGACGCTGCTGAAGACGCAGGCTAAAAGGCACTGTAAACAGGCAGTCTCTCATTACGGCAGGCAGAGGGGGGAACAGTTCAGGCAGAGTGGCAGAGGGGTCACAATCTGCCAGCTTCCTTTGTCTAATTGGAAGAAGGCTGCCTAATTGCAGTGGAGGCAATTTGTGTGTGCGTGTGTTTTTCTACTGACAGTTTGTGCATTGAGGGAGAAAATGCCTGTCAGAGGAAGAGGAGTCAAAGGCCAGGTAGGATGGCAAGAGCTCATCAGAACCCTTATGGGCCCTGCCTAACCTCCAACAGCTAGGAAGGAACAAAGCTGTTGCTTACGCTTCTTTCATAGTAAAAACGTTGTTATCACCATTTCCCCTGAACAACAAAGTATTCATGACACCGAGTCACATCGCGGAGCACGGAGATATCAGCCTTTCAACATAACCAAGTAATTATTTAGCAAGGTGAGGAGGTAAGAGACAAGGAACATGATTGCACGGGGAGGACGGCACGATGAAGATAGCAGGGAGTACAAGGAGAAACCGACCACTGAGGGATAATGAGCTTTTTTCCCAGCACTTTCTCCCTTTTACTAATTGTGCCGGGCCATATTCCCTGGGCCAAGAACTGGGGGGGATTTGTTGGTCTTTTTTTATTAAACTGCCTAATTGCATTTTTTCTTTTTCTTTAGTGGGTTATTTGTAGCCCCTGCATTCCAACAAATGACCCTCGCCTGCAAAGACAGAGATATGATTTATTAATTTGGGCAGACAAAGAATTGCTTCCCATTAGTGCGAGGTGCAAGACTATATCCTGGAGAGTGCAGCAAGCCGCTAAACACACAAAGCCACATTTTAAATGGTCATCTCAATTGGATAGAATGAAGAAAGGCCAACTGCATGTGGTTTTGAATTACAAGAACATCTTTTTCTTTTGGGATTTGACTCTGGCATAAAAAAAGGTTTGACCAACAAATGCTCTTCACAACATTTTTAGACATGCATTTTTACACAAAAATGCATGTCTCTTAGCATGGGCATTTCCCCGCCATGCAAGATAGTTCCCCATTCAGCAAATCTAAATCATATGTATGAGTAAGTGATGGCAAGGTGTGTGTGCACATACAGTATGTGTGTTCCAGCACTCATTATGAAGGCCATATTTAGCTTTGGGGAAAAGGTGCTGAGACAAGAAGGAGGGTGATGTAAAAATTGGTTCAAACTGCAAGACAAGAGACAATTAAATGTTCATGCATATGCAGCCTTTCTCATCCACGGAGCATGAATTACACGGTGAGAATGTATTTTCAGCCGGGGGCTGTATGCACTTTATTTCATTCGAATTTTCATGTAAAAAAAAAAAAGCTTCTGTAATTGTACTGCCTGGAAGCTCTATTCATAAGTCATTAAATGTTAAATCTAATTACTTTTTATTCACACAATGACAGCCAAATGGAACACAACAGTAACTACAGAGACGCATGGTCATACTTATTTGGGTAGTTAAATGTCAAGGGACTGTCATATGCCATCGCATGAATTAAAGAACTTTCATTTGGGAAAAAGAAGTGTGACAGGTTGATTTTAGATAACTACTAATTACAGTTTAAGGGATAATATTGCGATTCAAATCCAAATTCTAAAACATTTGGATGAATTCACTGTTTTTTCATGTTTAAAATGTATAGATTGTGTTTATGCAAGTAGGCACATGGTTGATGGTAGTGCAAGCATTTACATATTTTGCATTTCATGTGTACATTTCCTGAGTGTATTCATGTGCATGCCAGTGTAATTGTTCCTCCTCACCTCCAGGATCCTTGTCAGGGTTGTATTCTAAAGCATTACTGCAGATGAGGTCGATGTCTCCCAGGAAGTCCTTCACCCTCAGGTACTGGTGGGTGTCAATCTTGGTCATGATGGTGGACAGATCCATGGGCTGCAGAATCACCTCCATGTAGTCAGACACCTAACGGACAAAGTACATTTTATTAATAGTCAACTGTGAGGTACCAGGGCGTGGGGCAGTTCCTCTTTACCTCATCGATGTCAACTGGCTTGCTGAAGATGTTAAAACGTTTGTCGGTGGCCAGGCGCTTGGTCACGTCCCTGAGAAAGAGCCTGAGCTCGCGCAGTGTGTTCTCCTCCTGCTCAGCCAGGCGGCGCTGTTCCTCTGTTGACAGGACTCTGGGCCCCGGAGCCTCAGCCGCTGGCAGAACCTCTTCACACCTCCCTGTCAGAGGAGAAGCAGAAACTGTAAGAGAATATTTTAATCTGATCTTGATTATAGAGTTTCTTACAGTTTCTTAGAATCTGTGATACTGCAAACATTGTTTGTAATATCAGTCAAATCTCCTCTGTAGGTTGAGGTCACAGGTCAAAAGCTTCTCCCATATCCTGTGGGGGAAGGGTCCAGGCCTGCCTGCATTTCTTTGAGACAAGCAGATTATTGCCTCACATCTGCTATTGATTAGGTAAACGCAGGCTTCTGAGAGCCCGCCTCTCCTCATGTTGATGCGTGCTGTGGTTCTTTTGGGTTCAGAGATGATTTGGTGGATGCGCAGGACAGTGTGAAACTAAGTGACCTCCCGGCTGTATTAAATGTACTGTGTTCAATAAACTCTCAGTGCTTTGGCTAACGACGTTCCAGACTCCTTCATTCCACCTCAACATTGCAACAACAGAAGTTTTAACTTCACAGAAACAGTTTGAGGCAAAAACAGAGACGTCTTCACACCCCTTCAATCAATGAACAAGCCTGAGAAATCTCAAACCAAGAGCGATCGAAAGACAAAATAAAGTAATAAAACTTTCAACGTTTGCCTATAGCAGTGGTTCCCAACCTTTTTTCCCAAGAGCCCCCCCAAATGACTCCTGTTGGAAATTGCGCCCCCCCACACACAAGGGGGGGGGGGTGCGCAACAGCGGTAATTAAAGTTTAAAAGTCTCAAAATGCTACAACTACTGTCACAAACTGAATGAATGTGATGTATTTAGTTAAAGGAGGATGAAAGCGTAATTAAGGAGCACTATTGGAGCGACTTTGATGGTTATTGGACTCAGGATTAATTCATTTGGATTCCCGCTGTATGAAGAAATGAAAGGACGACGCAAGTGGAAACAATTCACAAAGGGATTAAACTGTTTAAAACACATGCTCAAAGTAAGCCGGATTTTGCCGATGTGTTGATGTGGATTCAAAAGTCGTAAATAATCTACAAAATGGAGGAGACCGATCTGATCGGAGCAACTGTGACAAATAATCCAACTGAAACTGGCATGGACAATGACTGTTTTAAAAATGCGCTTATCCAGACAAGCCTGGTTTGGACACTTTATGGGCAGAAGAAACATTTCTATTAAAAAAAGAATTATACATTTCTCTCTTTTTATGCCTTTAATACTAACTTGAATTTTCCCAGGTTGGGAACCACTGGCCTATAGCAACCAAACACTTCAACCACACGAACAATTGCTACACTAACTATGCAAATCAAATATAAAAACACACATATGCCCACTGGCTGGAAGTGATCAACAGACGGTGTTAACTCAAACCTGATCCTTGACCATTCTCTTTTATTATCATTGCCAACACAGACTTAAAAGTGATTCAGCCCAGGGGGAAAAAACATGTTTTAAGATTCTCGCAGCTGCAAAAAAATAACAGAACAATGCTCCTTCCCAAACACAGGTTTTGAAATACACTAAGGAAAAGCCTCTGGCCAATGACAGAGTGATGATGCAAGGCAAGCAGAACTCCTCTCCTCCTCTCCCAAGGCGCCAGTCCTCACCCAAGGCATCTGCCGACATCGTTAGGAAGCACCGTGCGCCGCTTCGCTCACCAGCAGCCATCCAAACCCTGATTCTAATTATGGCTAATAGCAGCCGGCCCCTCGTTTCAATTCCTTTCCCCGCTTTTCTGCCGGTCTCTCTGCTGGAAGCGGGACTGCAGTCTCAGTCAGACAGGAACCCCTGAAGAGCAGCGGGTGAGTAAAGCGGGGGACCCCTGCCTTGCATCAATGAGCAAACTGAGGCTGAACAGCGAGCACAATTTCCATTTGAAAGCCTTGGTGGACAGTTCTCTCATATTGAACCAGATCCCGGGATGGGGGACTAGTGAGTACTGGGGCAATGGCAGGTCGTATTTGGGGGGGGGGTTGGAAGAAGGTTGCTTATTTTGATGTGGGTGGGGGATGGTGATATCCAGGAAAAAACTGGATTCTAGGGCTGCACAATTTATTAGCATTTATTTTTACTGAAATTGCGATCTTTTGTTATGCTATAAGAGGGATTGATCATTTTGAAACATTATCATTCAAATATAGATTTGTGTTCATGTTGCGATGTTTTAAGATCTGTACCGAACAAGGATTTTTGTCAGTAGAAACCCGGGACTTTTAATATATTATGTCATTGCAAAATACTGTGCTTACCGAGATAGATATTGCAGTGATTTTAATGTTTTAAAAACGGATTTGTGCAGCCCTACAGGTTTCACCCCGGCCAATTATATACTCACACCCTCATCTTACATCTGTATATTTGTGTCCTCCTAAAACTAAATTGAACAGATTCTCAACATGTAATCATTTCACTGCAATGTGCCATATGTGTGATTGGTTATCCACACACATAATGTTGCAAATGAAATAACATCTGCTCCTTTACCTTTCCCTGAATCAAATGCAGACAACACTGCCCTCTAGTTCTGACAGCAGAGAGGAGTCATAGCTGTATCCTCCTAAGTGTATGTCAAATTGATTACAGATGGTACCTTGATTCTTGAGGCGTGGTGGAGGCCTGGCTGCTTGCTCCAGCAGCAGGTCAGAGAAGAAGCTCCTCCTGTCCTCTTCTTCCGGAGGGCACAGCGTCACTACCTCCCCGTAAGACCTCTGGAAAATACTCCTCACCTGGAAGAAAATAAATGAGACGGTTGATGAGAATGATGTCACCACCACCATATCAGTTTGTCTGTTAGAGAAAAACAGGTAGTGTGCTGGTAAACGTTTCACGGGAATTGTCCCTATTAACACTCATTTGTAAACAAACCAAAAAATGGCTGACAATTAAACTTCTGTCGTAATATAACAAAGGCCATTACACTTAACATTTACTATGAAAACATATTTGTATTCTTTTGTTTCTTAATTTGAATTACTTAAATTCTGAGAATGCTATATTTTATTTTGCTTTCATTTCATTTACCCACTGGATTTAACTGATTGCTCCAATTTGTTTTGTCACATAATAGGCAGTGTGAAGCTGATTGTGCCTGTTTTTATCAGCCACTACATTAAGCAGAAGTGCGACTGAGCACAGCAGAAACTCTGCATACTGATTAGAAGTTCACAACTTCTCCAACAGATGAAATGTTGGATTTTCACATTAATAAAGTGGTGAGAAGAACAGATAATACCTGATCTAAGCAAATCCTCCAAACTTCCTCAAAGATGCATTTCTTTTAAGATGTAAGGATGTGATCACCGTGTGATTTCTTTCAGCTTTCAGGCATTTGATATGGACTGAACAAAAGGAAAATGTCTTAGTGTTTTAGTATATCCAGTTCCTACACAAAAGAGCAAAGAACAGCAAATAAAATGGAATGAAACACTATCGTTGCAACTGGCATTTTTTAACTATGCGTAGATGAAGTTAATCTCCACACGTACGCCTGATTTAGTAGTGGGTCCAACACGATAGCGACATAATTACACATATGGATGGCATCTTGAGACACAGCGGGTTGTGTTTTTGCTATTATTATAATTATTAAGCTTCCGATTCTTGAAGCGCGTTTATGAGGAACTTAGCATGGGGTAAAGAGGTTGGGGAAATGTGCACAGACATCAGGACTGGCAAAAATAGGTTCTGCAGCAAATTGGTTTAATCTTGCCAACTCCTATGAAAATGCCATTTTTGAACATAAACCAAACTCGCACCTTAAGTCTGATTGATCTGACATTATGCACACATACTCAGCAAACAGCATCAGGGGAGGGTCGGACATGTGTCCATAAGAATAGACAAAGGTCAGTCAAAAACATGGCTGCCAGTCTCCAAAATGTCTTCAGGGTTGTCCAGCGAAAAAGCTTTAATGCATTTGCTGTGATGCAACATGATGAAGGTAAATAGGTGCATTAGCTAGTCTCATACATGCAACGCTTCTGGAAGATGACTTTGCTGTATCCCATTTGTTTACCTATATATCTATGTGATGAAAGATCAAAAACTTCCCGCCCTAAGTCGTAAAATCCTGTCTGAGTATAAATCTCTGTGCCGTGTTTTGGCATCTGATGAGCTGGGTTTGGTGTCATGGTGTCACAGGCACCTGCAGGGACAACACGCTGCTTTCACACAGGGCTGTATTGAGGCTGAATCCCTGCTAGTTGATCATTCCAGAAACAAAATCACTCATCCTCAAGGATAAGACCGCGGCTATATGCTTCTGCTAGTCCCAACCCTTTCCCAACATATTGAGGCTTGCCAACAACATTGTGCCTGACCCCAAACATGTCCTGAACAGCCAATGTGTGTCATTTCAATCAAATCGGATAAACAGGATTATGCCATTTAAAGAAGGTTAGACTGAAGCAATCTTTTGTGCAGTAGTCATCAAATCAAACACAGTTCAATCCCATGTTAAGCGTAGGTTTCAGGGTCTTGAATACAATGCCATGTCTTTTTATGCTACAACACAATGCAACACAAACATTTCCCAAATCGGGATCAATAAAGTACTTCTTATCTTGAACCTATTGTCTTTAGTGATTATAATGTTCAATTTAAGTTCCTTCGTTTCTTGTCCTAAACATTTGTCCTTGTTGATGTTGCAAAAGGAGCTGCTGTGACTCGCTTTATTGTCAGATCAAGTCTGAAATATTTATTATCTTATCCTATTTCTAGCAGTCTTAAGATAGTTTAGCAGGCACTGCTTTCCAATTGACGTCATCCTTTGACAAGAAAGAAAGAAATGCAACCTCAAAATATGTTGATAAATCTACTTTTGTGACCAGTTTTTTGTGACCAGTCTTTCACACATAGGTGATGTCTGTAAAGAAGACCTTACTTTACTAAAGAGATGACCAAAGACACATGACAGTTAAATGTGCCGGTAACTATTTTGGTCTAAATCATTAGCTAGGGGAGTTTACTAGGTATTCACAAGCAAATGATAAAGCAACAGGATTATCCTGCAACTGTACAGCTAGCCACTTGTCAGAGTCAGAACTAAACATGGTAAAGCAGCGTTCAGTTATTATCCTCCAAATATCTGGAACAAACTCCCAGAAACCTGCAGGTCCGCTGCAACTCTGACTACTTTTAAATCCAGGCTGAAGACTTTTCTTTTTGTCGCTGCTTTTAATTGAACTATTCATATCTTAGACTGCACTGTAACTTTTATCCATGTACTTTTTTTTTTTTTTTTTTTTTTTTTCTTTTAATGTTTAATTGACAGCACTGTAACTTTTATCCATGTATTTTTTCTTTTAATGTTTATTTTATTAGTTTTTCTTTTTAATGACTAATTTTAAATGTCATTTTCTTAATCTCTTTCATTTTTTGTAAAGCACTTTGAATTGCCTTGTGTTGAAAAGTGCTATATAAATAAACTTGCCTTACCTTGCCTTGTTATATATTATTAAAGAATGACGATAAAGTCTTGGCAGACAAATACACGAGCCTCTTTCCAGCTACTTTAATTTCTGCTGTGCATCTATACAGGGGCTACAGGGGGCTTCGGAGATCCCAGTTCAATTCTGCGCTGGAGCCTAAGGCCTCCCCCGACGGGAAGCCCTGTTGCTGACTAAGCACCTACTTTCCACTTTATATCTCCCCCCCCATCTGTCTCTCACATCGATCCTCTCCCTTATCCCTGACATGTTTGTTCTCTCTTTCGCTCTGCATTGCCTTCTGTTCTCTTTGACTCTCTCTCTGGATTGTGTATTCTCTCCTCAGCAGAGAGCAAAGAAACGGAGAAATGGAGAAAAAACTAGAAAGACAGTAGGGGAGCTGGAGAGAGCCAAAGTGTATGTAGCACACAGCAGGTAATGGTTTGCAGTATTTTTTCATCATGAGAAAGTCTGCAGGAGTGTTGACACCGGGTGGCTGAGCAGAAAGGTGTTAATAGATGAAAAAAGGAGCGGGGGGGGGTAGAAGAGAGAGATGATGCTTCAAAAGGAAATTGGGGATGTCTGGCTGGGTAGAGCAACTGTAAAACTAAAGTGCACACCTGTTCAGCTAGCATGATCAAATCCTAACTGTAGAAACAGACTTAAAACATTCCTGTCAGACTGCAGAACTTTGCTCTGTTATCTCAATGTTCAGAAGAAAGGCAATCCCTATACCACAGCAGGTATAAAATAGATGGCAATACAACACAGCTTGAGTAAATGACTCAAATAATTGGCACACAAAAGCTATTGCCGAGACACCTTTCTAAATCAGAATGTGATGCACTATATGAAAAGGGCTTTCGAAATGCATTCCATTGACAATCCAAAAGACGGTACCTTAATGCTTGCAGAAACTCCAAAGGGTGATACAACGATACAAAGAAGTAAAGTAAACATCATTACAGGGAAGTGTCGATAATGAGATCCAGATAGAATTGTAAACACTAAAGTTCAGATAGGGATAATCCAATCAGGGTAAGATAGTGCATTAGATAGAAAGGGGGAATGGTGCAGTCAGCAGTAATGCAGAGGCTATACAGGTCTGTCGGGGTGAAGGGGGGGGGCGAATGAGGCTGAAGGCAAAGCACTCTATTCACCGCTCCTTTACATTGAAACCCTCATCTAGGGTCATGAGCTCTGGGTAGTGCCTGAAATAATGAGCATCCGGATATTAGTGGCCAAGAGCAGCTCAGAGTTGAACCACTACTCCTCCAAATTGAATGGAGCTAGTTGGGGAGATTGATTCAGATGCATCACAGTGGCATCTAAATCCTGTGGAGGTGTTCCAGCACAGCACTCATCCAAATGAGCAAGAGGCAGTGGCTAGGGATAAGGACATGTGGACTAGGCTGTTGCCACTGCGACCCAAACTCTAACTCAATCATTGATATCCACTGAGGAATAATGAACACTGATGTTTAAGTGCATTGGCTAAGAGTTGCTTTTGTAGAAACACAAGCGCTGGTATACTTATTAAAAAAACAAATCGGAATTTAGAAAGTCCGATTTTTCAATTATTGGTGAAGACAAAAGTGGTACAATGTCACACCATTGATTGTAGTGGGAACTAGAGAAGAGACTCCGCATTTGTTTTCGATCCGCTGCAATTTGTGAACTAATAGAGGGGACATCATCATTTCTGTCATGGGTCCTATGTGTATTTTAAAGCCTGAGCACATTGAATATTTAGATGCACTGGAGTTCAGGAGGAGTGTAGGGTCCCAACAGATTCTTCCCATCTGCCAGCCAGTGTTGCAAAGCTGTTATTTCGCGTTTGCACTATACTTCAGGACACACTTTTAAAATGTACGGTTGTGCAACATACATTTGAGTTGTCCTGTGCTGCATTGAAACATAATCAAGGTTTGAAACACGTCATCTGTGCCTGAAAACATGTTAACCGTGCTCTCGGCAAAATAGAACTCAACTATAATCAAATGAAGTGAGGCGTGACATTTTGAAAATGATTAACCCTGAAACCCTTCAAATTTGAATTGTGTGTCGCATTATCTACCAAAAGCTAAATACATAGCTGTTGTTTCGTGCTGTGTCTTCTTTATCTCAGCATTAGAATTAGATGAATGAAGCATCAATACACATGTCCTGTCCTTATAGTCAATCCTTTGGTAGCAAGCAGGTCATTTGTGCCATTACCATATCAAACATCCCACAATGTGTTTCAACGTTTAAAGTAAAAAACTGATACGACAATATATCTCACACTAACTGCAGTAACTTCACACTTACAATCACATGTTCAAGCTATTTCCCTCGGCCCTCCACAGAGCAGGAAGTGAGGGTAAGCAGGGTGAACGGCTGTTAAGGGACGGAGGGAGGCTATGTAGTTGGACCCAGGCTTGTAGTGTCAGTTTTGGCTGGGGAGGGATGCTGCGTGTTCCCCGTTGTGGTTTGGAGCTGAGACAGCAGCTGTCACTGTGTTCTCCGTGCCAGGGAGTGAAACAACACACACATAGCCAAATCACTCAAAGCACCATAGACTGGCAATGCCAAGAAAGAAAGAAATCCTCAAAACTTGATGAAAGAAGCTTCTGGGCCACTTTAGAGACATGAGATGAGCAATATCATTTAATAAAACAAACAGTCCAATTAATAGACAACACAACTGCATAACACAAACACAGCAAAGTACCACCCATTCTGCAAATCATACTCTCTGTGGCCAACCTGGGGGCCTGCCTCAGTGGGAGCAAATACTACATGTGTTTTAGGGCTGCACAATATGAAAAAGGAAAAATGTATTGCAATTATTTTTGACTGATATTGCTATTGTAATATGGTTCACCATTCAGAGGGAACAGTCATGTTTCAAACATTATTACAATTATATAAAAATGGTCATAATGTGATTTCTATCTGTACCCATCTAGGATCTTGTTTATGTCTGTACCGTTTGTTGGCCGGGATATCACTACAGCGCCACAACACTTCATTCAGAAATATAGATTTTTAAATGTTTGCCTTGCGATTTCGATATTGCATTAGTCAATATTACAATTAAGATTACATTTGTATTAATTGTGAAGCCCTGATATGTTCCCTTACAGACATACAGACAGATGTTACACCAGCATCACATAGAAAACCACCATCAGCAGTTTTGTGAGTTTCTATGTCTGTCTATAGCTTGTTTGTGAATCCTTATTTTAATAATTAGAATCATTTTTGAAAAAATGTTCCTGTGCTAAACAACTATTTGCAGATTTGTACTCTTCTTGTTTTACTAGTTACCATCATATATAGTATGGTTATAAGAAACATTCATTAAAGGTATTCTATTGTTTATAGTAGATGTAACACCATTGATTTAGTCTATTTGGAGCATTTTTGGTAATTGGAAGCTTTAGCATTACAGATTTACGAGTTGCCGTCAAAATAACCACTCGCTTTTATTGCCATATCAAAACTAGGTAATAAGTATGGATTTTAGGAAGCATAACAAGGCACAAGGGTTTGGAACAATGTTCATCTTTATGTTGACAGTTTATGCTGCACTTTGTCTTTGCTAGTGTCGAAAGGAGCCAGACAGGGGCAGAGTTTGTGGCACAGGTACATGGTTTGCTTTTAACTCAATTCAAATGAGAAAAGGTCTGGGTCTCCTTACAATGTATCTGCACAAAAGTAAGAAAAAAGAACAAAGTGCAATGATGCAATCCAACTTCAAACTTTCAGCACGAGACTGAAATGGGGAAAGAGAGCCAGGATAGCCTAAGGACAGTCTTGATATCCTCATGCTGGCTCCACATTGACTTGAGCACACCATTTGTCCCATCATGAGCTTCCCAATCTTCCACACTGCATGGCTGTGTGTTCAATCACCACAGAGAAGGTCATGTGATGAAAGTGGTCATTTCCAATCCTACATGGATTCATCCAGTCACCTAGTATGCGATGAACAGCAATCAGCCATGTGACACAGAGGCTGAAGGGGTCTGTGGGGTGAGATTCATTCCATGTTCATACTTAACACAGCATGTTAGCCAACAAGTTAAGTGAGGGAGAAATACTTAAAGAATGTAAGGAAGGCAGAAACTACCAATCACACAAGAGGAAGAAAAGTTAAAACACTCACACACGCGCCCACACACACAGAAAAAACATGCAGTCTGCACAGGCATATCGACATGTTGTGTGTGTCCTGGGGCGTCCCTTACAGCAGGGGTACTACTTGTACTACAACATTTGAAGCATCAGTTCTTCCTCATTTTCCTCAATTGTTCATATTTGGTTTATTAAAATAATGATATTGTGGTCATTGTTAAAAAACGTCTGCTATTATGAGTATTATTATTTGTATAATGCACTTTCTGCCTTCCTGTCATTAGGAGTTAGAAATGTAATGGCTATGTAATAGATTAGATTGGAACCTTCATTAGCATATACTGCCAGGACATTTCCCTATAACCAATACCTTTATATTTTCTACTCTTCACTTACTTGTCAGCATAGGTCGGCATTGATGTACAGAGCCGACAGAAGACCTTGTTTATATTGGCATCATATTGAGAGGTGCAGTGACGCGTCCTAAAACCAGGAAGTAAGCTGCTGGTTCCCTTCGACAAAAAGCCACGGGATTTCTCCACAGGGTTTTGGAAAATAGCTGGAAATAAGGTCTGTGGAAAACAAACCTGTTTGATAAATGCACGTTTTGTTCAGCCGGATAATCTCCACATGTCTACGCTACTTTTATCATTTTCGAATCATAAATCTAAATAGATAGATTTATGATTCGAAAATTATAAAAAGGGTTTTAGGACGCGTCACTGCACCACCCTATAGAAGCCAACTCCATCGATCAAGGGTTGAAACTTTCTCTCCCTCTTCTTCTCATACTCCCTGTCACTCTCCTTTAACTCCTGCGGTGACTTTCTTTTATTTGAAGATCGTTTTTGCCCGGCGCTTGGCCGGTTACCGCTGGTATTAAAAACATTTTGGCGAATGGTGAGGTGGCGCGAAAGTCTGTAGTGAACGAGCGCGCTCCTGCTCACGGGAGCCTGCTTGCGCTGCGCTCCGCAGCAAACAGCTGTTTGCTTTTCACCCAACAAGGACAAGCGACTCACAAAACGCTATGTTGTAGCCAGGGTTGGGAGGGTTACTTTGTAAATGTAATCAGTTACTGATTACTGAATACATGGCTCTGAAAGTAATCCGAATACAGTTACGCATCTTAACATAATCAGATTACTTTTGGATTACTTTCTTTTTCCATCACAGATGGTATGTGTTGGTGAACAGGAGACACAAAAAGCTAAAGGAAACTGAATGTGTTTTTACTGTTTTAATGGCGTATCAAGAGCACAACTGAAACATAGCATCTGAAACGATGCAACAACATAATAAACTTTTTGGGGATGCAGCTTAAGATGTGAGGAGTGAGGGACACGGCTTAGAACGGGCGTGTCGCCTTCTGTCCTGCCAGTGTTGGCAGGACATGAATTAAAATGTCGAACTCAGAGTTCATTTTAAGGACATTACGGCCAGGGGTGTAGAGCTATATTTGTTTAAGCACCGGATCGGTAAAACAGGAGAGTGTGTGCACCAGTCTGCCTTGATCTATGAATTCATGTCTGTGACTCTCACAGTATCTGCTGCCCACAGCTGTTTTGTAGAAGGAAAACCTCCTTCACTTCATGAAATCTCTGCAGCACCAGGAGGCAGCCTCTGAGAAGAGGAGCGCGCAGTGCCTTTCACGCACCGCCTTCACTGTGTTTACCTTCAGAATCATTAGAAAGGCTAAAGAGCGACCGCAGGCTGATGTGTTTTAACCACACACACATCTACACACACACACGACTTAAACGCAGACTTTTGTTCCTCCATGTTTCGTTGTTATTGTTTCACTGAGCGGACCCGCCCCTTTTTTTCAAACGCTCCCTTTTTTGGTCCATCTGCGGCGGTAATAGGTTGTGCGCTGTGATGATTCGGCTGTATACCTTTAGTAATGAATATTAAATGTTGTGAGGAAATCTTTCCACCAATAATTCCAATAAGTATTCCAAAATGTATTCACTTCAGGTTTACGAAAGTAACTGTAATCAGATTACTCGTTTTTCAAATGTAACGCGAGCTGAATACAGTTACTTGATTTTTGTATTCTGATTACGTAACGCCGTTACATGTATTCCGTTACAACCCAACCCTGGTTGTAGCGTTAATAAATGAAACAGTTTAACTAAATTGCTAGTCAAAATACCAATACCACAGGACCGTTTTGTTTTTTCAAAGCAATATTTTTAGTGGCCCGAGCGGGCAAGTGGAAAGTACGTTATGCTGGCCCGGGGTGTCTAAATAGTGCTTCCGGGCCAGCGGGCCATTTAATGTCGAGCCCTGCTTACAGGCTAACCCACAACAGGTGGTCTGACTCTGCGGTGGCTATTCAGACAGAGAATAATAAATCCAAGAGGAAGGGATGAAGAAGGGGCAGGGGATGGGATCCCCATGGTGAAAACGGGCAGTGGGATAAGAAAAGAGAGATGGAGTAGATACAAATAACTCTGTGGGAGCAGATGACCTTGACTGTGACACCCTGTGTGTGTCTGCACGAGTGCTCCCGAGTATGAGAGGCACAGAGAAGCCCCATGCTTTAGCCTCCGATACCACATATAAAAAGACATCAAGGTAACGCTCTCCTCTCTCATATACTGGAAGCAATTCCATCAACAGCAAGGTGTAATCACAAAAAACATGGTGCAAGCCTCGAGGTAAATCTGAAAATGTCAGCACAGACGTGTGTGTACATGGTGTGCCTACCTCGTCTGACAGCTGTGAGTAGTGAGTCTCAGCTGTGGCGAGGATGAGGACGGGGCTGAAGGAGGGCACATCATGCAGCAGGGTGAGGAAGGTGCTCTTCACAGTGTCACTGACTGTCTCCCACCACTCTGAGATGTGCGGCATGAAGACCACGCTGGGCACGCTCCGCCGGGCCTCCCGGAAAACCTGCAATGCAGCAACATTCTCTTGAATATTTCTGAAATGTTATTTCATTTTTTGGACTGCGTGTGTTTCTGGACTTTGTAATCAAAAGGTTCTTTTCTTATTTTGACAAGAATTATCTTGACTACATTTTTATCAGTAAAAAGTAGAAAACGTTTGTGAATCCCAGAAATAAATGGGTTCAAACTAAACAGAGAATAATTATAGAGAGGAACAAAAATATAAAGTAAATGTGTAAATATATCGCTTCCTGCAATAAGCCAATTGTAGCTTCAATCTAACCCAATTTAAAAAAGTTATGATTAATCCTAAAAGCCAGTAAGTTGCTTACTCCTTTCAGATTCCAACCACCTGTGCAGCAGATGGTCTTGGATGTGTGTGTGTGTGTGTGTGTGTGTGTGTGTGTGTGTGTGTGTGTGTGTGTGTGTGTGTGTGTGTATATGGATATGTGTGTG